GGAGAATAGTCCGGCTGAAAAAAAACTTCCTTGTGCGAGTTTCGGAGGCTGCTTTTCCTGGACAGAAGTAAGCTAGCTTCCTCTTTACTGTTCAAAACAATTTTCAGAGGTCGTGACCGCACAGTTTCTGATTGTTCGCTCAAAAAAAAAAAAAAACCGTGAATCGGTTGCGTAGCCAGTTGCGTTGTCAGTTAGACCGTGCTGATAAACAAATTGCACTTAATCCAGGTTCCAGGCGAATTTCGATGCGTGAAAAAATATTCCAAAAATGCACAAAGTTAGTCTGTACGTACGGTTCCAGTATCAGTGTCAGAGACTGTAACTGTGGGATGGAATCCAAGTCGAAATTGTCCCAGTTGGAGCGCAGAATAATTCCGTCGTGCTTACTAACGCGAGGCTCCTCCGGTATCTGGGCAGATAAACCCAGGTAAGAGTGTGTCTGGTACAAGACCTCGTAATCGACTCCTTAAAAGCCCAAAAGATCAGGATTACCTGGCTACCTTAATTGATGAGAAAGTAGGTGTTATTTAAGCAACTTAAAACTCTACGTATACTTTCTTGGAGGGCGCTGTTAACGGCAGTTGGCCTCAGAGATTATTAATAACTTATACCAGACTATCTAAATCATATAAGTAGACATGATATAAGAGTTCGGATCAAGAGTCCCTGTTCCCGTGCCATCACTGTAACTGGTAGACCTTGAGAGACAGAATTTTCGTTCAAGTTCGCCCAGTCCGTCTTTCCTGTTAAACCCCAATTGGCAATAGTCAGACCCGCCGAAGCCGAGTCTACCACACCTGAGTTTGTCGAGATCAAGGTATAATCTGAATTGCCAAGCTTGGATCAAAATAAGGCCACACGGTTGACCGAGTTTCCAGCATGACTGATAACACAGCATTCGCGAGAGATAACAAAGCCTCTTGCCATCATATTTCTGCGGCAAATTTTCTCGGCAAGCCTCCGGACACCTTGAAACCAACCAATGTAATGCGTTAGAAAGGTGGCTTGCGGCTATTGGCGAACGACCACCGACCAGCGAGCTTACCGGGCGAGTCCATTGCCTTAATGACTCACAGCACGGCTTTTGTCGAATCCGCTCACACCTCACAAATGTCACCGTAACTTAAAGTTTGGCAAAGGCTTTGGGCGCTAAATATGCTGCTAGCGTTATCCACGTTGACCTCAGCACGGCACCTGACCTTGCCGACCACAGCGGCTCCGTCGGAAGTATTTCGAGGCAACCAACCCATTGTGTTAGGTAGAAAGTTTCTTTCGGAGGACAACAAGAAGTTGGGGGGCTGGTGTCGGCCCATGTTAGAAGTGGACCGCTCCTCTTCACAAGATGCCTAAATTACTTTGCTGGTAAGGCCAAATCGGGCTTGGCGTCTCTTGCGGATGATCTTAAGCTCTGGAGGATTTTGAGAGCGAGAAGGGCATCCCCCACCCTGAAAAGTGACAAATATGCTACATAACTGGAATGGGTAGCGACGTATGAAGCTAAACTCTCCGAAGTGCGTAACAGTACATCTGGGCTCAGCGCAGCTAACAAGAACGCGACACAAACTTATTAACTGGTTCCAGAAACCTCGATGGTTTCATGCAAGTTTATCTAAGTGGCGCAGTGCAGACCCTATAGGCTGGCACCCGCGCGATGGACTTGAGTTGGTTTGTCAACATGAACGTCAGTTTACTCCTGGCAAAAACCTTCAGTCTTAATTCGTCATCATTCGGCTTATATAGTCCAAGTATGGAGTTGCCCAGAAATGATACTCAAACAAGAATTTCTCGAATACACATAATGATTGCTTGTCTTAAATCTGTTTCCTCGCATTTACAGACAGAGCTGTGGCCTTATTATAGCCTCCCAGTTTCTGAAGCGACTGTTGTGTGACGTTGACCGTGATTGATTTTTTCGTCTGCTGTCCAAGCCTTGTTATCGTGGGAGCCTAAGAAGAAGCGAATTTGCCGAACAAACCAGCGCACAGCGTTCTCTCAGCGAGCTATACGGAATTGAAACGTTTATCCTGCCGCAGTGGATCAAACGGAGATGGTTGGTGTCTTCAAGCAGCGTCTTTGTAATGGTCAGCCCTAAGGTTATAGCCCGGCAGAGATGACGCGCTTCATGAACACGCAATCGCACACCATTTTCCAAGAGACACACTGGCACTGGCACTAGAGACGCTACTAACTGCATTGTAGTAACATCTAGTGTTGTCATGCCCTTGAACATCTACCAGTAATCAATTGTGCGAGACAGTTTTTCACAATTAGGTTGGATGAGCTATCGGTAATTGGCCGTTTTTTGTAGGATAATGACGTATCTCTTCAAATATACTAACCTGAACTCCAACACTGCCTGATGTTAACAAATCGTCCAGCGAACATTGTCGTTATCGACTTCATCGCATGCATACTTCGTTAGTATTCTGCCGTCTTCCGAAACATAAATATAAAGCTATTAAGTATCGTCCCCTTCGCGGCTTTGGCCACGTTCGAAGACTCCCGGCGACCAATACTAGAGGGAGGAAGAGCTCGACACATGGACATCTTATAAGCTGGGTTGCCATTGCAGAAAAAAGTTACGGGCCCATCCTTACTTATCACTGTTAATTAAGTTCGTTCTTCTCGTTGAATTGTCACGTATGTTGAAAGGTATATTCCGCATTATAACTTACTAATGGTCTAATTACGCCAAAGGGCCATCAACCCCCCACTCAAGTAAGGCAAGGATCAGCGTTGAATGGTAATTTTTGCCGCTGGGCGCAGCTTAGGGACGCTGTCGTTTCGTGGAATTCTGCTTTGATCGATGAATGAGGGCGGAAGAACTTATGTTCTCTGAGTTGATTTATAGCCACAAAGTAAGCATGATGTAGGTTTTATCCTTGCTCGCCAATCACAAAGGAAGAGAATCGGTTTTTTTGCCAAACACTACAAATTAACAGTAGGCCACAGTGACTGGTGGGTGAAGCATGGCGAAACACCTAGATACGCACAAGGCATTATCTCGCTCAGTGAGCATAGTTAGTACGTAGCTGCTCTTGGATAGTCATGTGCGGTGGAGCTTAAGGCAAGGTAAGTTTTGAAGCGCTGTTTTGTGAAACTGCCGCGCAGTTTAACGGACATGTTTTTTCAAGTGGTGCAACTGTCCCGTAATACTTATGAAATACGTGTTGTTCGGCATCACCATGGCAATCCAGGACTTAGTCTGTGGCAAACCAGCAACCGCAGACAAAACGTTCCCTGAGGGTGCGTCATTCACTCGAAAGGGCGCACATCACCACACCCTCCTGTAGAAGTCAACCAACCCAACAGCAGCTGCTCATGCCTAGCGTGACTTGAATTAGGTCTTCCTATTCAGACGACTTTTATGCTAACTGTCTCTATACTGAAGAGAGTTTGGTCTCTTTGTCGGATCTGCTCACTTCCCTGTCCACATTAACCCTCGACTAACTCGTTCCCTTTCCCTCTGCCTGCAGGTGCGCGCTTGTGTGTGGAACGAGGCTCGTCAAGAAGTGTACACCGCGGGTATGGACAATAACCTTCATGTATGGTCCTTCTTTCCCGATCCAGTAGAGGATCCGCCCGGATCGGGGAACGACGAGGATGCGACAGGAGCCAACTTCTTGTAACTGTCTTGAATTACTTAACAGTCCTTTTTGATCTTACTCCTTCCCCTATAGCGCATATGCTCTATAGCCCTCTCCCCTCTCTATGACCAGAAATGGTATATCATTGTACATACAAATAGCCTCTTACCCAGGAAGAGGTTTCTTTCCCACTTTTCGTCTTTTGAAAGTGAGGGTCACATGAGTCCACAATAACTTCACAGTATAGGCTATGAAACTCGTGATTTCTCCTTCCCTGGTTAGATCAGCCAGGCGTAACCAGCATCTCACCCCCTCTGCGGACAAGAAGGGCAGAGCTGAAAGGAAGTGCTCATCAGCAGTAGATAGGGGGAACTGCTTTGTGTGTGTGTGGCCGTACAAGGGTGTGAAGGCAAAGTTATTAGCTTCTATTTACATAGCAGAGCGGAATAAAAGGAGAAGAAACGGAAGGAAGGGAGCTCATGAGGAGGGAAGTAGAGGGGCGCAAAATAAAAGGCAGAGCTTATCAGGAGGTCCAAACTATGTGGGGCAGGGGAGACGAACTGCGGTCCAGTTCCACAGGAGGGCTAACTACCTGTTCACTCTTTTTGTTTAAAAATATGCGTATATATATGTATCAGAACATAAGTCAAGTAGCCTCAGATTACTATCATCGTCGGGAGGATGGCTGTACGGAGAGGAAGGAGGCAGCCTGGTGGATTGGAAACCCAGGAAGAGGAAATGAGGCGAAAGACACGGACTTACAGCCACCGAATGCCGCCCACCGACAAAGCGGCAGAGGGCTGGCCCTCTGGAGGCGGTGACCGTGCTAGCTCACAGATGGGGTAGGGGAGCGGAGTGGAAGAGCAAGACTAGTGAGTAGGGGGGTAGATCGGGGTTAGACTTTGGCGACTGGACGCTGGCTGCAGACTTCGCGCATCAGCGGACTCAGGCCCTCAAGGCTGAGCAGTTTGGCGAACTCTGTCATGCGGATCTCGAGCGTGCGCAGATCCACGAAGGCTAATAGGAGGCGGGAGAAGAGTTCGGTGGCTTGGCGCAGGCGTCTTGGACCCGATCGCCAGCGAATATAGGTCCACAGGAAGACCAGATAGGCTCTGCGAGAGGGGATCACTAGGCTACGCAGTTCCTCCGGCAGGGAGTCGTCGTCAAAGAGTTTGATGGCCAACAGGACCATGCGTAGAGTGTCGTCTCCGCTGGCTAGTTCGTCCAGGTGGTCAAATGCAGCCAGTGTGTTTGCCTACATGCCAAAGTGGGAGACATAACCATTCGGTTAATGAAGACATGCGATTTATTATGGCTGTTTTTGTCTATCCTGCCCCACCAACGTGGATAAGCTAGGCTGGAAGTCTAAAGACATCGGCGACTAAGATGATAGTAACGAGACGCATTGTTTTGAGTATGGGACATGTGTCGTCCTTCTCCGAGTGGGTTTACTAAAACCTACGGGAATCACAGCTGATGAGCACCGGGGCCGCCTGCCTGATGTCCCGAGAAACAATCTGGTCGCCAGGTGTTCAATCAGAAGTAAGGTAATTGCATTCTCAATCGGGTACTGAAGAGGATCGCGTTGGATTTCAAATCCAAGCGTCTTCCCGCGAATTATCAACTACTGCTCACATTAAGTGTTAATGAGGGAGGTGCGACTTGCAAGGACATTGTGATTTCGAAGTACGTCAGAACTTTCGTCGGGCGGGGAATCGCTCCTGCTAGCGTCCTCGGCAAGTTTAGCCTATGCGCGGACTGTAGCCCTCCCGTACAAAACACCAGGTTAGGTCATGGCCCGTCGGGCGGTGAAGCGATGGTTTTCCATAGTACCTGGATTCGGACGTGCACTTCACGTATCCCTTCAGGGTGGTGTTGAATACTATTCGCCATGCCGTAGGACTGCTATGGCTTATGACCTTTTAATATGCTACAATTTGTCAGATCGGTGCCCAGTCGTCATGCCTGGAAATAACGAGATTGCATGGTTCACAAGTGCTGAATTGTCATATCAAAGAAGCTGCTTATTTCGTGACTGGCTTCCGTTGCTGGCCATCCCACCATCCGCCACTTGTGGCTGCTCCAGGTTACTCAGCTCAGCTGGGAGGCTGGCGACACTGCAATTATAAGACCGGGTTGGCTAGAGGTGCTAAGACTGTTCATATTCGGAACGCTGGGTCACCAAGTTCGCATCAGTAAAGAGGCAAATGTACTGAGAAAGTTCGATACTTTTGTTAAGTTGGAAAGACTCAATCAAGCTAGAACGCGGAACAGGTTTCGTGCAATCTATCCAATGTCAGCAAATGAATGACGGCCAGCATCAGCCCTTAGGCCAAAGAGGCCTTATGTCACTGTCAATTGATTTTATCCAGGGAGAAGACACACTCATCACCCATATGAGGACTGAGAAGTGTGGGGTCAGTCTGCGGCACTCTCAGGACGAAAAAGTCCAACATCTGTATGGCGCTAGACCAGCGCTAACCAACAGTTCGACCGTCGCGACCGACGATGTCCACCGTATGCTCCACAGCAGGGTGAGGGCTAGGACGGTGACCTGTGCGTGAATTAGTTTATAGTGACAGTGGACTTGCGCAGCAGCTATCGAACTCCCCTCCTGCACCTGGGCCCGGTGCCATGACAGAATCAAAAACACCGGAGGTGAGGGAGGACGCAGGTGGTTGGCGCGGCGAAGACCCGCGCCTAGGCGCACCAGCAAACCCCCTGATTCACAGCAGACATCGAACAAGATTACACGATTAGGGGAAGGCAGACCGGACTGCGGTTGGCACGGCGTGGGCCCGCAACTGGGTGCGCCACCACACCTCCAATGCTGGTATTTGTTACGGGTGCAAAATCCCAATAACTCTTGCCAGGCTCCAATCTAGCCCCCCGTATTGGTCCACCGCATCTACCGCGCAGCCCGCTTTAGGGACAGTGCCAACCAATTAGGATCCCTCCGCATTTTTTGGAATTTTTAGAGAAACTATCGCTTTTGAGGAGGGATAAGTAAGGCCAACAGATAAAGGCCCATGGGACTTAAGGACTGCGCGTTGGCAGGAAAACAACAAACCTTGTACAGTTCAAAATCCTCTCTCAGGCCCGGAACCTGACAGTTCGTGTTCGAGAGATAAGTCATGGTGTTAGGAGCCGGTTTTTCAGAATTTGAGCTGGTTGAAGAGTATCGCTCCTGATCGAGGCCCGGGGGAACCGCCACACTTGTCGCCGTCGATGAAAGGTCGTCCAGCATGGATATTGTGACGGTTGTTAGGCTCCCATCAGCTTTTTTAATCGGGTAGCGCAACTTTCGAATCCCACGTTCGAAGAAGAAGGAGGATTAGAGGACAATCAGGCCGTAGATATTGGCCTGTAACAGATAAGTTTCACAGCGTAAACCTTTTCTGTTCAGGTCTAAACGGCAAATAAAAAATGGACCAGCGAGCAGGCCTTCAGCAAGAACGTACGCGTAGGAGGCTGAGCTGGGCGGGTTTCCCAATCTCGTTAAAATAGGGCAACACTTTCACGACGCGAATAATCCGCCGGATGCAGGTGTCCATGCGATTGTACTCCTGCTCCAGAGTGGCTGCCGCCTCGGTGTCCAAACGTTCCTCGGGCGCAAATGGCTCGCGAATGCGCTGAACGCATTCAGACAGGCAGGCCAGCAGTTGGTCATCTGGGGCCTCCAGCTCAGTTGTGAAGCAGGCGGGGCCCGGTGGAGGCAAGCCCGTGAGGCTGGTCTGCTGTTGTAGACGCTGCCGGCGCTGGTGCTTGAAGAATATCCGCCGGCAGGTTGTGTGGGTGCAGAGGGTGGGGACGTCCTTGAAACGACATCGATGGGGTCGGACAAGTCCCGAAGCGCATTGATCAACCTGGGAAAAGGAGGATGGCAACAGACGTCAGGAGGCAGTAATTTCCCTAACACTGTTGACGGTCGTTGTCGATGCTGAAACAGACTAGAAGGAAAACCGTACTGCCACATTTCCATTGCCCCAGTGGTCATGGTTGTCTGCTGTGCCAGCATACTTGGGATACGGTATCCTTCGAAACTGAAGAGGCATTAGCAGAAGGCTTGCGGTGTTTTATAGACGTGGAAAGCAGACTATCCGGGGCTAACTGACGGCCGCCTTTGATACTTTCACCCAGGAGAGAATCACTGCAGAGAGCAGAACATGGCGGCTGTCTGTATTCACACACAGCAGTTTATTGCTTCTGCAAGTCATTGAAAGAAGAGCGCTGCTCATAGGAACAACAATCCCAACGGAAAGAATATGCTTCCTTAGCCGAAAGTTCGAAATCATTTCAAGTGGTTTATACGAACTACTTGCAGTCAGATACCCACAGGTTTCCCGATAAGAGATCTATAGATTTGGTCCAGATGCAATTCACGGACTTCAGTGGGTCTGAAGACGAAGATAAGCTCTCCGGAACAGGTTTATTTAAGTGCCAACTGTTAGAGTCTGGAGTCTACGAGAGCTACGAGGAGCTAATGTCTGCTGTAAGAGAATACGAGAAGGTAAGCCTCTATAACAGACCTATTCCTTTGCAGGCTTCCTTTACCAGCTTCATTAAACGGAAGAGTGAGAGACTCCCGTCCGGGCATCCTCTGTTTGACACGTTGAAGTTTCGCTATATATACTTCATATGTTGCCATTCTGGAGTTTTTCGTAGTTGCGGCTCCCGGACAAAGTCAACGTAAGCAAGTGATGCTGAATTTCAAACGGTTTAGGTCTCTGAAGTTTGGTTGCACGGCACGCTTTACTGCCATGGTAACTGAGGGCAAACTGCGGGTAAAGGCGTTTAATCTGCGTCACAACCATCTATGCAGTCAACAAATGGCCTCAACTTACCCCAAGTTCCGGCGGTTAGCGGCACAGGACGAGAAAAATCTGCTACAGTTGATGCAGCAGATGCGACCCTCAGCGGGGCGGCTGAAGGTGTTCCTAAAAAGTAGCATTCTTTTTTTCTAAACACAGCCGTATGTTGCTATGGTCTGAATTACAAGATGAAGGACCTACTTAACATGCGCCGCCGTGTGTTCCGGTGTGATCCGACGGTAAAGGGTATGAAGAACGCCCTTTACACTATGAAGGGTGGCTGCTATCCCGAGTTCTTTTACGGTGTTGACGGAAAGCTGCGTGCCGCCTGTTTCACGACGCCGGCTCTGCTGGCTTTGTACTCAGAGTATTCGGATGTGGTTCAAATGGACGCCACATACCGCACCAATAGGCAGGGGTGTGCATTGTACCACATTGTGGTAACTGACAAGCACGGGCATGTTCAGTCTGTGTTTTATGCGTTTGTAACTCGCGACGACGCCACTAGCGTGCGCTGGGTGGTTAATAAATTTAGGGAGTTGATGGGGTCTGCTACCGATAACTTACGCACAGTGTTCATAGATAAAGATTCTCGTGAGTTGAAAGCCTGGAGGTCTGTTTTTCCAGGAAATCAAGTCGCAATTCTCATATGCACATTTCATGTGCTGCAGGCTTTTAAAAGGAAAGTTAAGAGTGTGTATCGGAACGAAAGGTCAGAGCAAGCCTTTGACCAGTTCCGAAGGGCTGTTTATGCTCGGTCTTTCAAGTTTTTTAAGATGCTAATTAATAGCCTGAGGGAAATCTTCCCTGAGCTATGGCCGTACATTGTGGCTCACTGGTGGCCGTGTAGACGCCGGTGGGCCCATTACGCTCGGCGTAGTCTTGTGACGTACGGCGACAACACGACAAATAAGATCGAAAGTGTCAACCGGGTGTTAAAGCAGTGGTGTAAGCCGTACATGTCTCTCACAGACTGCGTGAATAACATAGTTCAGTTTCTGGAGTCAAAATCGGTTGACACTAACCGGTTGGACGCCGATGAGTACTGCCGCGGCAGGCACTACAAGGGCTTGAGGCCACGCGTCCGTCGAATATGCCAAATGCTGACTGGGTACGCTTCAGATATGATGCTAGCCCACCTGTCAGCAAATGCTGACGTCCGGGTTTGTAGCGATGCTGCGGACACGTGCAGCTGTCAGTTTCATTGCAAGTGGCAGCTGCCGTGTGTTCACATCGTTAACTTCCTCGAGCAGCATAGGGTGGATCCCTGTCAGGCTCTTTCAAAGAGCAGATGGGTTTTCCGTGTGGACAAGTGTGAAGAGGACGTCGCTGACGAGAATGTTGACCCGGGGGTCGTTACGTCCTTTCCGGCAGACATTCTCGTCAGCAAAGTACGCAAGCCACTAACGGAAGCCTACAAGTACAAGGTAGCCATGAGCCACTGCAGCCTATCGTAGATAAATGAAAGAGTTGCGGAAGTCAACGCTTCGAGGAGTTGTTGCGGGAAGTCGATGCGTTTGCCGACCGGATCATGAATGCCCCTTCTGGCTGGCTACAAGAGTCGCTTGTCGACTCCCCCTCACAGCCGAGCGGGGATGAAATGGAAGTTGACACGAGTGACGAGGTTGTTCGTTGTCAGATAAGGGAGGAGGGTAATGTGTTTGTCGCACAGTGGGGTTCTGACCAAGACCCATGCGCACGTATACTGCACAATGACAGTTTGCTCCCTAACTTCCGCATTCGTGGCCGGCCGTGCACTCGACGCCCCTGGACGACTCGCAAACCTCTGAGAAGTCGTGCGATGAACGTAGCTGTCTCCACGCACAGTGCTAGCAGCAGTCTTACGCGCAGGGACTCTAGGATGCCCAGTCGGCATTTGGAAGAGACGGCCGTGGACATGGACGATATCCCGTTCGTTGATGCGTGTGGTGCCTGCGGTGGTAATACCGTCGTTAGTAGGGGAACTATTTTCAAATGTGTATCATGTCGACGCAAGTTCCATGAGCTTTGTATTGACAACCCGCAGGTCTGTGATAGGTGGTTATGCGCCTTTTGCACCACCTTGATGTAGCTCAGGGTGATATCTAGCTACGGCTGACGAGGCTGTGATAGTATTTTAGTTTTTAGTTTTATTTGCCTTCGTAACTTCTACGTTAGTTTGCGCTCTGTGATATCTAAGTTGGCTGTGACGTCTGACGCGGCTGTGATAGTATTTTGGTTTTTGATTTTATTTTATTTTGTAACTTCTAGGATGGTTTGCGTTCTGTGATATCTGGGTTGGCTGTGATGTCTGACGCGGCTGTGATACTATTTTAGTTTTACTTACTGTACCTTGTAACCTTTACGTAAGCCGTGCGTAAGTTGTGGGCAACAGACTCTGTCACACCTTCCCAACAGACGAAAAGCACGGCAATGCATTGCCCCTGCCCACGGCGAGCCACCATTCAAGGTGCCAAGGTCACCAGCTGAGGTAAGAATGCGTTTTCTAAATTGTCAAGGCCTGTAGTCATGCAGTTCCTTTTGTTGAAAAAAGCTATCAAGAAGGGAATGAAGGCCGGACGGCTAGCAGGTTAGTTTAATCCTCTAAGCATTCATTCTAATCTCTGTATCTTGTAGCCAACCGTAATGCGGATCACCCGAAACAGGAAGCCTTCTCGTACTCGTCGGAATCTCGTGATACGCTCCTCTAAGCCTGTCTGTACAATGTTTATTTTTCTACAAGTAAAGACGTTACACTATTTCCCACTTCGCCTGCAGGTGTTCTACACCAAGTGGGAGAGTAGAGAGCAAATGACTGTTTGGGGATCATAACTGACTACATTCTCAAAAAAGTTGACGGCATAGTCGCTCATATGCGAACTAAGCCTCTGTCCCAGGCGCAAAGCGCAGTAGTCTCAGGCGCATAGGCAGGTTCCATTGATTGACTTTGCCGGCGCATATTTAGGGCAGGCTGCCTGCAGCGCGTAGGCGCAATAGTCATGTCTTTGCGCACTAGGCAGACTGCCTAGCTCGTGCATGCGTACTCGATTAATCGTGCGAGGGGGTGGGCGACGCGCATTAGCCATTGCCGCCAGCGCACTAGTCTCAGGCGCATAGTGGCAATTGTCGCGGTGTTGTGCAGGTAGAGCCTACGTGCCCATAATAGATGTTATTTTTTCGTTCTGTGCGTTTCTCTCGTTCGTTTTTTTACGTTTTGATTACAAGATGCGTTACTTACCTTCTTTTTTGTCATTTTGCTTTTTTCCTGGCTATTGTTTAAATGTTCTCCGTTGGTTTACGTTTTTTTGGTTTTTTGGTTGTGTCCTTCGCGGCCCGATACTGCGCAGCCGCGAGGTGTATGTTTTGTAGCAGGCGGGTGGAACGTCGGGAACTGCAATGCTCTGTCCAGTTTGGGCATCATTAGGATCACACTTCCGATCCGGCATCATCAATAACAGTCTTCAAACACGCAACAAGTCACGTAGTATGCCAAGGTTTATTGGGAACGCAAAAAGAGGAAACTTAGATGAGGGATAGACAAGAAGGATCGGAAAGTCCAAACCAACGTATTCTTCACTATTGTCCGGGGAAGGTGGAGTTGGATGCTGCCACCGGGGAGGGGGAATCACCGTCTTCGCGCACTTCAACTGAAAGGGACAGAAGAAGACGAACAGATAGCGTTCAGACGCTAGGCACCCTAACTGTCAAAACTCGCGCCCTTATCTATTCAAACAATCGTTCATTCCACCCCAGACTACCCAAATAGACGCAGGCGGACCGTCGGACATCGAACCCCTCGCGAGGTCGGACGCTACAATGGTGGCAGCGAAAGAGCCGAACCCGCAGCCAAGAACCAGTACAACGAACCCTATTCCATCTTCTTTCAAACCCTACGATGGGAGTAAGGATTTTTCGTGCTGGCTGCGCCGACTTAAGTTCCACCTGGACGACGTGCCACAAAACGAACGTAGCCGTACGGTTCTTCAACACCTTGCCGACGACCAAATGGACAAAGCACTCGACGCCGGCCTCACTCGCCATACCCCCTTCCAAGTGCTGTGCGACCAGTTGCAGAGGCTGTTCCAACCTCCCTTGACCATAGAGGAGGCTATCGACCAGTTGCTGAAACGCTCCTTAAGGAGCGATGAGACTCCTCGGCAGTTCGCCGACGCCTTACTGCAGCTGACACGCGATGCTTATCCCTCTCTCTCTGCGGCCGATAGAGACCAAGTGGTCCTTTTCCACTTCAAACGCGGTCTCGGGTCTCCAGAAGTGACGTATTCCCTGAGGATCCAGCCACCAGGCGACCTCAATGAAGCAATCCAGCGAGCATCCCGCATGCTGACAACCGACTCCCCATCAGAGGCTAATCACGCCCGGACTGAACCGTGGAAACACAACCCAGACCGCAGGCAGCAGAGCAGCACCTGGACCAGACCGCACTACCCGCCGTCACAACGCTTCAACCGCGGCAGCCGACCCCCTATGTTCCGCACGCCCTATCGACACCCACCGCACAACACCGAGCCAAGACAAGGCCGGGGGAATCGAGACAATACAGCGGCGGCGATTACTAAGGAAGGTAACCATATAATTCCCGTCTGCTTTGATTATACGTCACATAATTTGCCGTTTTACACGACACTCTACCTAGACAACAAACCCGTCAAGGCACTAGTCGACACAGGGGCCACCACATCGTTAGTTCGGGCAGAGGTATTAGACGCTAAGTGGCTTAACCTCGCCAGACAAAGCGGCCACTCACCTCACCTCAAAACCGCAGACGGGTCACCCATGACCACGTTAGGGTCGGTTCGACTGCCCATCTCATTCCTGGCCAGCGTTAAGGAACAAACTTTCTTCGTCACTCACAAGATGTCGTGGGACATGATACTCGGGCTAGATTTCCTTTCTGCACATAACTGCTGTATCATGGTCAAAGATCGCATACTTTCCTTAGGGCATAGGTCAGTGCCTAACAACCCGCCAGGCACCGAGTTTGACGAGGAAGCCACCTGCGCGGCCATCGCAGCATCAGTTGCCTTACCACCCACAAGCGTAGACACGGTCTTACCCCCAGACGATACAGTCGCCCTCACAGACAAGGAAGAATTAAGGTCACTCCTGACTGCGTTTAGCGATGTTTTCGCATGGGACGATACCTCCTTAGGTCGCACAGCTGTCATCCGTCACAGCATTGACACAGGAACGTCGAAGCCGCTGTGGCAACCACCACGCCGTATTCCACCACACTTTCAGAAGGAGGTGAACGACCTAATTCAAACGATGCTGACCACAGGGATAATCCGCCCCTCCAGATCCCCATGGGCATCGCCAGTGACATTAGTGCCAAAAAAGACGGCAGACTCCGATTTTGTATAGACTATCGGCGACTTAATGCGGTCACCACCCGCGATTCTTTTCCACTGCCAAGAATTGATGTCACACTTGAAGCGCTGGCCGGAGCCCAATGGTTCTCAAC